GACATACAGACCATCCCCCAGCACAGCCAAGTGCAGACCATCTCAGACACCTGCACTCAGGCCCATGGTCCTAATCATCCTCTATGCGGACCTGCTGGGTAAAGCCACAAAGAACCCAAGAACGGGCTCCCACAGGACATACAGAACATCCCACAGCATCAAGCAGCTGTTTGCTAGGGTCTTGGAGCCTGAGAGGACTTCCCAGGGTGCTATGATAAAGTCCTCTGTCTGTTTCTGTCCCCATCTCTCGTTTCCCACAGGGCTGGTGAACTACTGGATTTCCGTCCACGGCAACGATCATTTTGAGCTAGAAGTGCGTCTTTTGGATGAGGATGGCAAAGTCGTGGCCCAGGAAACGGGGCACCAGGGTCAACTTAAGGTGCCCGGTGCCAACCTCTGGTGGCCTTACCTGATGCATGAGCATCCAGCCTACCTGTACTCCTTGGAGGTAATGGGGAACCTGAGCTGGTGCTAAGGAAGGTCCTCTGCTGCCACCTGGTGACTGTTGTCTCAGCAGGCATTTCAGGACAGGTGGCTTGGCGGGCACCGTCCTAGATTCCTGCTTTTCTGTCCCTTGGTGGAAAAGTCCTGAGAGTATGTTCTTCCTAAAGACAGACTGTAATTTTGGCATCTCCGCTGAAGCCTTGTGAGATACACAGGTCCTTTTTAGTCAGGCCCAGGGGTATGGGATAATACGATCAAATAAGTATAGAGGTTGATGTCAGCCTGGTCTACCTAGTGAATTCCAGGACAGTCAGAGCTACAAAAACAAATAAAAAACCCCAGCTAGCTAGGCATGGAGGTGCACACCTGCAATCTTAGCACTTGGGAGGTATAGGCACGAGAATCAGGAGTTCAAGGTCATCCTTAGCTACAAGTGAGTTTGAGGCCAGCCTAGGTACATGAGATCTGACTTTAAAAGAAAAGCTGGGCGGCGGTGGTGTAGCTCAGCACTCAGGAGGCAGAGGCAGGTGCATCTCTGAGTTTGAGGCCAGCCTGGTCTACAGAGCAAGTTCCAGGACAGCCAGGGCTACACAGAGAAACCCTGTCTTGGCGGGGGAAAAAAAATCTCCTTCCTATTGGGTGACATGGACGGGGCTCAGTCTACCTGGGTGCTCTTGCCTGGCACATTGGTCTCCTAGGTGAGGATGACGACAGCTGGGCCCATGTCTGACTTCTACACCCTCCCTGTTGGGATTCGAACAGTGGTTGTCACCGAGAGCAAGTTCCTCATAAACGGGAAGCCCTTCTATTTCCACGGCGTCAACAAGCACGAGGACTCGGATGTGAGTTGTGGCTGTGGTATCCCCGGAGGTAGGGGGGGATGTCGGGAGTCACAGGTCTCTCCTTCGCCTTCCTCTGAGTGCTCTGAAGATGCCATTGTGGGCTGGGGTTTGTGAATCGAGCCTAGATGGAGGGAGGGGGTGACTCTCTAGGGGCTGGAGCTTCAGAAGAAAGTGGGTGTTCTCCAGCGACAAGGGCAGAGGTCCACACGGCCCTGCTGTCCCCTAGATCCGAGGGAAGGGCTTCGACTGGCCACTGCTGATGAAGGATTTCAACCTGCTCCACTGGCTTGGTGCCAACTCCTTCCGCACCAGCCACTACCCCTACTCGGAGGAGGTGCTTCAGCTGTGCGATCGCTACGGAATTGTGGTCATCGACGAGTGCCCCGGTGTGGGCATCGTACTGCCGTGAGTGCCCTTGCCGCCCGCAATGTCCAGCTTGCCCAGCTCTTCTCAAGAGCCTTTGGTGACCCTTTCCTTCCTGGCTCCGCAGCCAGAGTTTTGGCAATGAGTCTCTCCGGCACCACCTCGAGGTGATGGAGGAGCTGGTGCGCAGGGACAAAAATCACCCTGCGGTCGTGATGTGGTCTGTGGCCAACGAGCCGTCTTCTGCTCTGAAGCCTGCTGCTTATTACTTCAAGTGAGTACTACCCTTCCTCCCCTGGGCTGAGTCAGACTTGGTGGCCTTTAGCCCTTTGGCCTGCCTCAACCTCTGTAGGCAGCCAGGAGCGTGGAAGTCAGCCTTGAGGGGGTGGACGTATGCTCTGAATGTCACTGTCCCCTCCTGGTCCATCACTTCTGGGAACCCAAATCAGCCCACCCAGAAGGTGGTTTTTCCACCCATTGAGATCCTCCTAGTCATACCTGAGTTCCCTTTGATGCATAGAACTTCAGATTTTTATATCACATTATCTGTCTATCTATCTATCTATCTATCTATCTATCTATCTATCTATCTGTCTGTCTGTCTGTCTGTCTGTCTGTCTGTCTGTCTGTCTGTCTGTCTATCTATCTATCTATCTATCTATCTATCTATCTATCTATCTATCTATCTAAGGCAGGGTCTTGCTATGTATCCCCGGCTGGCCTCACACTGGCACTGATCCTCGACCCTGCCTTCTGAGTGCTGGGATTACAGGCATGATCCACCAAGCCTGACAATTTTTTGGTTTTAGATTTCTTTTTAATTCGTTTGTTTCTGTGTGTGCTGTGGCATACATGGGGAGGCCAGACGACAGCTCGTAGGAATTGGTTCTCTTTCCACCCTGGAAGTCCCGGGGCTTGAACTCGAGTCACTGGGCATGGCATTAGGTGCTTTTAATCACTGAGTTATCCTCCAGACCCTTGTTAGATTTTTTTTTTAAATAGTGTAGGCCAACCTCAGATTTGTTATGTAGCCTTCTGTCTCTACTTCCTTCCTTCCTTCTGTCTCTACTTCCTTCTTGGGGCAAGGATTACAGGTGTGCTCCATCACACCTGGCATTCATTCACTCATTCATTCTAGACAGAAACATATGTGAAAACCCTAGAAAACCACTTTGTGATGTTTTGGGTTCATATCTATTTATCTATCTATCTATCTATCTATTTACTTATTTATTTATTTATTTTCCAGAGCTGAGGACTGAACCCAGGGCCTTGTGCTTGCTAGGCAAGCACTCTACCATTGAGCTAAATCCCCAACCCCTGGGCTCATATTTATTTATTTATTCTTTTTTTTTTTAGACTTATTTATTTTTTATGTATACAGAAGAGGGCGCCAGATCTCATTACAGATGGTTGTGAGCCACCATGTGGGTGCTGGGAATTGAACTCAGGACCTCTGGAAGAGCAGTCGGTGCTCTTAACCTCTAAGCCATCTCTCCAGCCCCCCTGGGTTCATAGTTATAAAACCAGTTTACACAGACATGTGAATACAAATGGGATTTTACATTGCTTTGTGTGTCTGGGTATTTTGCCTGCGTGTCTGTGTGTTTGCTGCCTTCAGGGCCAGAAGGCATCAGATCCCCAATAACAACTGGAGTTACAGCTGGTGTAAGCCACCATGTGGGTGCTAGGATTTGAACCCCAGTCCCCTGGAAGACAGCAACCACCGGGCTCGCTCTCCAGCACCATAAAAGGGTTTTTGTTTTTTTTTTTAACGACACCGAAAGATGTTAAATGTACTTTCTAATGTGGGGATCCAATCCAGGGCCTTATCTCTGCATGCTAGGCGAGTGCTCTACCATTGAGCTCTATCTCCAGGCCCATTCCTTTATCTGTCATGAGAACTGTCACTTAGTCTTTAGGGTGAATTATACTGCTCGTCAGAGAGGCAATGGTAGCTTCTGATGCTGCATCCCAGTTCCACAGTAATCTGAGCTCCGCTGAGCATGTAGTATGTATGAGTATGTATGCCGGGCCAATGACAGCTCTCGACACTCAAAGCCCTTTAGAGCTCAGGGTGTACAGGGGGCTTTGGGACCAGGGTTGGGTAGATAGGACTTTTGTCTTGAAGGGGAAGCATGTAGCTTCCTGAGGCTCCCAGACTTTTTCAGGAGGGGACGAGGGAGATGCATGGGTTAGGGGGCAGCATGGAGGAGGCCAAGACTGGCTAGGCTGGAGTAGCCCAGACTGGCTCTGCTGGTTTGGAGCTGTCTGAGAAAGTGAGTTCAGAACCTAAGTCCAAGGGGCAACACATAGCCCTCATACAAGAAAAGTAATGTTCAAAAAGACGTAGAGATGGCTCAGAGGTTAAGTGCACTGGCTGCTCTTCCAGAGGTCCTGAGTTCAATTCCCAGCAACCACATGGTGGCTCACAACCACCTGTAATGAGATCTGGCATCCTCTCCTGTATACATAATAAATAAATAAATCTTAAAAAAAAAAAAAAGATGTAAAAGAAAAAAAAGTCTTCAATGGTGAATGATAGTGATCGTGCTGTGGAGGTCAGGAATAGGTCCCAGGTACCAAACCCTAACCCCAGACTAGTCCTTCCGTTCAGTTCTCTCCTCTCCATCCCTCATGAGTCAGTGGAATGAACTCAGCACGACTGTCATTACTTTGAATTTAGACCAGCCCCCCCCCCCCCCCCCCCCCCCCCCCCCCCCCCCCCCGCCTCACAGGGTGCTACACCCCCCTCATTTCTGCTGCCTCTGGACATTTCAGTTTGTCCTCACCTCTGCTCTCATGGCTCCGTGCAGCCATGGCCTTAGCTGGGAGCCACCACTGATGGGGGAGCTGGGAAGGAAAGGGAGAGAGGTGCTTGAGAGCCCCTCCCCACCTGACAGCCTGCCTCCCTTCTGCCTTCCACGGACAGGACGCTGATCTCCCACACCAAAGCCCTGGACCCCACCCGTCCTGTGACCTTTGTGACCAAGACCAAATACGATGCAGACCTGGGGGTGAGCCTGGGGGCGAGCCTGGGGGCTGGGTGGTCCCCACACTGCCTCCGCTTGCCTATGCTTGGCCTTTAGTCTTGTGCTTGCTCACATGAGCCAGCAGTGGCCAGTCCGGCCATTTTCACGAGTGGTTAAAATGACTAACTTCCTGCTTATCCCCTAGGCAGTGTGGCTTCTAACCCCAAGAAGGCTGGGCTATAGTCAGGACAATGTATCTGTTTCATTGTAGCCTTGAGCTTTTCTAAAGATGATTTTTATTAGCATCATATATATATATATATATATATATATATATATATATATATATATATATATGTGTGTGTGTGTGTGTGTGTGTGTATATATATCTGTATATATGTATGTATTATATATATAATAGCTTTATTTGACTATATTTTCCTATGTATAGCGTATTTTGATCATAGTCATACTCCCTTGCCCATCTCATACTCCTGCTTTTCCCAGCGTGTCTCCCTTCGACTTTCATGGTTTTTGTTTGCTTTGTTTGTTTTTAGACAGGAGCCCACTATGTAGCCTGTAGCCTAAGCTGGCCTAGAACTCAAAAATCCTCTTGAGCTCTAGGATTATAGGTGTGAGCCATCATGCTGGACAGACTCAGCCTCCCCACCCCCCATTTTTTTTCCCCCGTAAATTGTATGCCTTCAGTGCGTATTAGCAGGCAGGCATGGTACTGGAGCAGTGGCTGAGAGCTCACATCTTGAGACACAACCACATCTGCATTCTGTTCTGACCTTGAAGAGGCCCCTCAGTGTGAGAGGCAACCTCAGTTGGCTACTCTTGCCCCGGGCCCAGTATGTGGACATGATCTGTGTGAACAGCTACTTCTCTTAGTATCATGACTATGGGCATTTGGAAGTGATTCAGCCACTCGGAATGAAACTTAAAAACCCACCCCCAATGACACACCTCCCCCACGAGGCCACACCTCCTTATCCTTCCCAAACTGTTCCACCAACTGTAGACCAAGAATTCCGACATATGAGCCCATGGGAGCTGTTCTCATTCAAACCACCACAGTATGAGTGCCTAGCCAGAGCCATCTCTTCAGCATCTACCTCCCCCTCTTAGTTTTTGAGACAGGGTCTTGTTAAGACAGTCCCCATGGATAAGAAAGCCTCATCAAAGGACTGGAGCGATGGTTTATTGGTTAAGAGCACTTGTTGCTCTTACAGAGGACCAGAGTTAGGTTCCCGGTATCCAGAGTGTTGGCTCATAACCATCTTGTTCCAGGGGATCTGACACCTCCTGATGCATAGACAAATATAGAGGGAAAACACTCATTTATAATAATTAAATATCTAAAAATAGTTAACAACAGAAGTCTTATTAGCCCTGGCTCCTCTATATCTCTAGAGTCCACCCTTCAAAAAAACAGTTTGCACTGAGGCCCAGGGAGGCCCAGGCGGGCCATTCCAATGCTTGCCCTATCTTCTGTGAGGACGGGGAAGGCTTTGCTGGGTGCCCCGGGCCTAGCCTCTTTACCTGGAGTGTGCTTTATGAAGTGACACTACATGACCCTTCACAGCTTCCTGCAGCTTGCACCTTCCCACCACCACCACAGCCGGGAAAGGGTCTGAGGTCCCTTGGGAAAGACCTCATCATTCCAAGGGCAGCTTTGGAGCTGAGCAGAGCTAGAAAGAGATGTGCCTGTGTGATGTGGGAGGCTAGCCAGCTAGATACACAACTCTTTCCTGTTGGTTAGACGCATTCCTATCCCTGCTCCGTGGACACTTCACACTGCCTAGGAAGAAATCTAGCCAGTCTATGACTCACAGCAATTGTGCCTTCCCAGTTGTGGATCAGAGGAGACCCTGTGAGGGGCTGGTGACGTGTCTCGGTGGTAGAGCATATGCTTAGCACATACAAGCCCTTGGGTTGCCTCCCCAGCACCTCCCCTCACCAAAAAAGGAGCAGGAGGTGTAGCTTAATTGATAAAGAGTGTTTGCCTTGAGTTTCTGAAACACTGGGCTTGATCCCCAGCAAGGCAGAAAATTAGGTATAAGTACACCTGTGATCCCAGCACTTGGGAGGTGAAGGCAGGCAGATCGTCAGTTCAAGGTCAGCCTTGGCTATATAGGGAGCTTGAAGCCAGCTTGAGCTATGTAAGTCTGTCTGAAGAACTGAACTGTGAGGAGAAAAAACATCCGCTCTTCAGGTTGGGTCCTATCTCCAGGCACGGCCACAGGAGACCAGCGACAGGAATAGGAAGGAGTGAAGTCCCACAGGTCAGGAACTGATGGCAGCCTGCTGTGCTCCCAGCCATGACCCAGTTGGGGGCCTCTGCCTAGCCCCACTTGGGTCTGTTCTTGGCTTTCTACATGTTGGGTGGGGTAGCCTACGTCATCTGCTTTCTCTTCTGACCTTGAAGAAGAGGTCCTCAGTGTCGGGGGTAAACTCACTTTACCGCTCTTGTCTTAGGCCCCCTACGTGGACGTGATCTGTGTGAACAGCTACTTCTCCTGGTATCATGACTATGGGCATCTGGAGGTCATTCAGCCACAGCTCAAGAGCCAGTTTGAGAACTGGTATAAGACTCACCAAAAGCCGATTATCCAGAGCGAATATGGAGCCGACACAATCGCAGGGTTTCACGAGGTAAACAGTGTAGAATGTTTTTTGTTTTGTTTGTTTTCTTCAAGACAGGGTTTCTCTGTAGTTTTGGTGCCTGTCCGGGATCTCGCTCTATAGACCAGGCTGGCCTCGAACTCACAGACATCCGCCTGACTCTGCCTCTCGAATGCTGGGATTAAAGGCCACTGCCCAGCAGTGTAGATTGTTTTATCATCACTTACCACAGTGGTGACACTACTTGTCTCTCTGGGCTTTCCCTGCCCTCAGTTGGACCAGTGACCCAGCCTTAGCTCTCAGGTACACCCCAACCCTACACACACTGTGGCCCCTGCATACAGGCCTCTCTGCTCGGCTTGTGTGGGTCCCAGAGGCAGCCTCACTTTTGTTGTCCCACCCCCCCCCCCCCCCCCCC